AGAGAAATGTATTCTTTGAAATAATTCAATTAGAGCAAGACACGAGTAGATTATGTATGGCCTAATAGCACTATGCCCGATATACGATATATAGGACATTAGATAGATAATGGACTATAGATAAACGATAATTGAGAATTGACATATCCAATAGATTGGATCCCCTTGTATTATCTGGAGACTATTGTGTAGTGACCTAGTACGTCTATAGTTGATGAGTCAAATGAATTATTATAGAGATAATAATTCACTAAGTCAGAAGGATTTCTGATATGTACAACTCACAACCAGCTCGGTATTGGGCCTAGAGGGTCATACATATATGGTAGGTCTTAAGATGAGTAGAGGTTTGAGATATCCATTGAGCCTCTATCTTATTGGATATCTATTAAGCTCATATATTATTGGATCTTTTAAGTGAGACCCAATAAGCATAATTAATGATTATTGGATAGGGGTTCATTAATCCAAGAGGCTAGGGTTGTTGGATAGAAATTCAATACCCAATAGGGTAGGAACATCTATAAATAAGAGGGAACCAAATAGGCCAAAGGCTAGACTCCTTTTGACTGCCACCTCCTACTCTCCTCCCTCCCTCTCCTCCTCAATCAATAGCTCTATTTGGGGTGTATGGACAACAAGAAGGGCTGGCTCATTCTTGATCTTGATAGAGTCATATGGTGTGCAAAGGAGAGGAAGATCACATAGCGAAAGGTGGAGCGTCATCACACGACCTATTATGTGGATTATCGTTAGAGAGAAGAACATATTATCTCCTTTATCTATATATTTGGATATATGTTTTTAGAGATATATAATCTCCCTAAGTATATCATCTCACATATGTTAAGCAATTTTTGATTTTATGATTTTTCACACACCAATTTTCTCACAACGATCCGATATTGAAACTATGGGAACCTATTTTGTTTTTTATTTTTTCGCTATGCGTATAATACTCTATTAAGGTTTTCCAACACTTTTGTTGGTAGCTCAACGGGCTGGGGATGGTCCTAAGCTGCCAGCACTAGATCGGGGTGGGGAATCCTAACGGGCGTTAGTGCCACCAGTGGTTGAGACGTCATTTGTGGCTAAGATAATAGCATGGTCTATTGAGCTAGCTAGGGCAAGAGCGGGGCAATTACCTATATCATACCCATAAGCATCTGTACTTAATGGGTGAGGTTCAAGAATACTTTAGTGAGAACAATCAAGTGTCTCATATTCATCCCCGAAGGTGAAAGTTTGGGGTCATTGAGTAGATATCAGTAATGCCCCAATGTATGAGCGGAAGTGAACGTATCCGCTTAGGGAAAGGAGGGTAGTTGCCTACCTTGTGTAAATATGCTATAGGTTGGGGGTAGAGTCTCTTCATTAGAGCGCTCGTTGAGAGGGTTAGTGGGTAAAGTTTCATCTAGTGCATTATTCAGGAATCTCCTTCTAGTGCAAAAATATTAAAGGAAAGTTCCATCGACGAATAAGTCAACCCGACTTGGTCTTGATCTAAAGGCACAGAGACCTCCACGGATCTCTTTAGGTAGCCCCAAATGGCTAAGATGGCTCCGAGGTGGTCTTCATATGGCTTCGAGGTGTTCGAGGTGGAGTTTGACTTCTCGAGGAGGTTCGTAAGAAAGCATGTGCTTAGAAAGGATCTGACCCATGGCACCGGCACCGAGCGTCGACTTTTATACCCTTAATGAAATATTTCTTTAAAGCATGTGCTTTCTTTTCGACATAAACATAAGTGCAAATGTGCATGAGAAACATGAATACAATTAACCAGTTAAATAAAGCGAGCTCCAACCACGATATAAGTTGAACTCGGATGACTCTTTTAAGAGAACCCGATAAAAGGTGATATTAAATTTATCTTAAGGACTAATATTGATGACTGTATCCTTATCAGTGGAAAAGAAAACCTTTATAATAAATTAGCTGCTATCAATGAGGCTATGCTTCATGCCAAACAGGAAGGGATGAAGACGCTACATGTTGAGCTTGATGCAGAGGTGACTGTTTTTATTCTACAAAAGGAGGTTGATCCTCCATGGATTGTGGCTTGTATGATTTTGGATTTTAGTGAGTCAATACCATAAAACTTTTGTTGAACTCTGTGGCAATGTAAGCAAGATATATCTATCCAATAGTGGGTGGTCTAGTGCTGAGCTCTGCATATAATCAATCCTTTATTGACATTAAAAGTTTTCTGATAGTGGATTTCTATCCGCATTTTGGAGAATTTTGTGGAACACTGGTTCGTCGCTGTTTTATATTGTTACAGTTATGATTTTTAGGTATTTTTCTGTGATGAATCTGAATGAATTGCATAAATATTTGTGGGAGCTGAAACAGATGAATTGGAGGAAGACAGGATTTTATTTGTAGAACGTTTGTGGTTCCTGAATGACCACCAAATGATACGAAAAAAGTTGTAGAGGCCTCCTGAGAAAGCAAAAAGTGAAGGTGGCGAGACTGAATTCGACTACAACAAGATTGAAGGTGACTACAGTGGGACGGAGTTGATAGTTGATAATGCCCACCGTGGTGGTGATAAGAAACATTTAGTATATTAGAGAAGAAAAGAATACCAAATGAAAAAATTAAAAATTATGGATATATTTTAAGAATTTTTAAAAAAGGTTTTTTTTAATAAAAATAACCTAATTTTCTTTGTTCGAAACTTGAACTTTCATCATCTGAGAGCAAGTGAGGTCACAAGAGAGCCTCACTTGTTGATTGCAAGCAAGATTATTCATGTTATATGTAGTCTAAACAGCATTGAGCATGTCAAAGTGGAAATGTCAATTTCAGCCAAAGGTACTCTAAGTTGGCTTTTTATTAACTTTACCTCATTTTTGAGTGACAATCCGTTTTCAATTGGAAATTACACAATTTTATTGCAGCAATACGAACTGCTCCATCGGTATTGGTAGTATTATCTAATGCTAGGTTATAATAAGATTTGGTTATATGGATTTTTTTTATTGCTATTGAGATTTATAAAGAATTATATCAATAGGTCTCTTTCCGACAATCTCCTATTCATTATGTTATCAGTGATGTAAAGTAATTCTCTATATTTTTTCGTCCAAGCTTGGGATTAGCTTCGATAGTATTTTCGTTGTGTTTGAACTGTTGGTATGAAATATTTAATCTCAAATGAACGATAATATCATTAAACTCCAATGATCAAAAATATTTAATTCTAAATTAACGGTCCCAAATTAAGGAGTAACGATACTTCTGTAGTCATCTGCTGGTCATCGTTGCAATCGTCAGTCCATTGAGAGCAATCTTTCACCATGATGAGCACAAGACGGAAATAGCTTTCGTAAACCACCCATTTGCTTTCCTGCTCGTGTTTAGAAACCCAACTGCATGGACCCTACAAGGGTCTATGGCAATAAATGTATCAGTAACGAGTAGCACTACACGAGAAGCGTCGATTTAGTTTCAAGCGTCCTTGGCAACGATAGAACCAGGTGGCCTACGACTCGGTGACCGACGACCAAATCATACGCTCCACGTGAGCTCCCTTCATTCCAGGCCGAGCCATGCACATTGCACGCGGCCGAGCGTCCGGAGGCGAACCCGCTTCGTTCTCTCTCTCTCTCTCTCTCTCTCTGTCTCTCTCTCTCTCTCAACTCTATAAATATCCGCTTAGCCATTCACATTGCATCACACATCCATCTCCCGCAAAGACCAGAAGCCAAAGCGAAATGGCCATCAGAAGAGTCGAAGCCTTCCTCTTCCCACTTCTCCTCCTGTTACTCTCCTCCAGCTGCCTCTTGGCTTCATCCTCCAAATCTGATCCAGAGAAGAAGCGTTGCGTCATGGAGTGCAGAGGCATTCCGGAGCAGCAGCAGAGGAAGCTATGCGTGCACCGGTGCTTAGACCATTCCGGCGAGCAAGAATCT